TAGTACGCCAATGACGCGAACAAATGCAATCTAGCCAAATTGCTTATTTGCCAAAAGACAGAGTTGCATACAAAGCACTAACCAGGAAGTGCAGGAGGAACTGTTATAGTGATGATGTCGAGGGCACGCACAATGACACGTCGCAAACTACTCCCTCGTAGAACCATGATTATAATCGTGTAGATGAATCCGCACCCAGATATACAACCGAGAAAACCCACGAACTGAAATATTAGAACGGTCTAAACGTGGAATCAATACTTTCTTATGTTAACTGTCACATCAGTGATGCAAATTACAAATCTAAAGACTGTGTATCCTGCTATCTAACTCTGTGATGAAAGTACACGTTATACGGTGTATATTCTAAAGGCTTACTCAAACACGCTTTACCCAATGAAAACGCGTATTGTAAACTTAAGCGCATTCGCATGAGAGACCTTCTAATGTAAATATAGGAGAATGAGATATTTGTTACCTTGAAAAGGTCTTTCGTGAATCGGAAATCGACAGGCTTCGGGTACATGATTGATCTCACAAGTTGTCCCTTCATTGTCGAAAAGCCTGTCCTCAGTACTATAGCCTCAAAAAAAAAACTCCTAAGCATTAAGGTTCTGTTACAGTGAAAACTTTATCAAATTGGAGATAATTTAAAAATAATGGCTAAACGAAATTTCGTGCAGCAAAAAAAATCGTCATTACCTTCACTTTCTGGCCTCTATAATACCTAGTTTGAAGAACTTGTGTTCCGCAGAACAGTACGTGCTTTGAATACTTCTCTATAGAGAAATGAGCCTCATGCACATCTTCAACAAGAGCGACCTAAAATAGAAGTTGCGATTTGGGATTGTCATTAAATTCATGACGAACTACACCTCACCTTCGTGACAGGAACAGACTCGCCCGTAAGCATACTCTCATTAACAATAACTGTACCATTCATAAGTACAGCATCACATTGGAGAAGACAGCCATGAGGCGGAATTAGAAGAATATCACCAGGAATGAGCTGGGAAATTGTCAGTGGGAAAAAATCAAACAATCTAGAGC